AAATTCATACAAATTACCAGGCCAGAATGTAATTTACATTGTTGGAATTCTTACAATATGATGATCATTTTGAATATAAACATCATAGATTTTGCATTAGACATACAAATTTTAGATGTAATGTATGAATTTTGTTTACTCAGAGCAAATATGTTAACTTTTGTGCAAAATATATGACCTGCATATTCAAAATATTCCTGGTCTTGCAAGGAATCCAGCAATGTCAATTATATTATCCTAACTTTAGTCTGAGGTATTATTTATTACTAAAAATGTAAATATACAGTTTTAACCCAAACATTTCTCTGGTAGGGAGGGAAGGTGGGGGTGAGGGGTAGGGAGGGAGGGACCCAGCAAGCGTGGGAAGAGGGGGGGAGCCGGAGGTGGGGTATTTTGATTGACAGATAGTGTCTGGGTGAAGTATATATTTTTTTATTTACTGAAGATATTTGTTTTAGCTCATAAAATTCATACAAATTACCCGGCCAGAATATAATTTACATTGCTGGAATTCTTACAATATGATGATCATTTTGAATATAAACATCATAGATTTTGCATTAGACATACAAATTTTAGATCTAATGTAAGAATTTTGTTTACTCAGAGCAAATATGTTATCTTTTGTGCAAAATATATGACGTGTATATTCAAAATATTCCTGGTCTTGCAAGGAATCCAGCAATGTCAATTTTATTATCCTAACTTTAGTTTGAGGTATTATTTATAACTATACCTTAAAATCTAGTGTTTTCACCCAAACATTTCTCAGAGAGGGAGGAGCCAGCGAGCGTGGAAAGAGGAGTTGAGTCCATTATTTGAATGGACATTAACCTGGCGACTGTATTTCTCGTAAATATTAAATGTGTGTGCATTCCATCATAAAATTACGATGTTATTTTTACTAGAACATAGGTATTGTGTCGGAAAAAGTGTAGTTTGGGGGTCGGCCCAGTCTCTATTTCAATTAATCCCATATGTTCTGTTATTTCGTTTACGCGTTTCTCGTTTTATGCTGACCTCTGCGGGTTCAATTGACTGTGTAAATCGGGGTATATATATATATATATATATATATATATATATATATATATATATATATATATATATATATATATATATATATATATATATATATATATATATATATATATATATATATATATATATACACTCTTTATCAATATACTTATATACTTCATCACTAGTAACATATGCACTCTTAATTCAGTTTCTCAACTCAATTTTTTAAGATATTCATTTATTTTTGTCAATTAGTTTTACTTAATTATTTGAAAAAGTTGTCACATTCACTTTAGTGTGTCATGCTTATGTTACTGTGTTACATCATACGTCACAACATACTGGTAGGAAGGATTAGTACAGACAGTAACCCAGCATGAGGGACCGTACTGTGTACCTTTATCAGTAACTTTCAAATGTGTATGGACCTGAAACCAACCCTGGGATAGGGATTTACTGGTTAACCCTTTTCTTGGGATTAACCATGGGATAGAAGTCAATCCTGTTCCTGGGAATATTCCTGGACCTGGGATTAATCCTGGACTTAGGACCTGGACTTGGTCTTATATTGAACTTTAAACTAACTTCCTTAATGTGCTTTGCTTTCATTATTTTTGCCTTTATTTTTTGTTTCTAAAAATACTAGTACAGTGAACCCTTGAAGACCTGGACTAAAAGGGGGGACCACCTGCCTGAAAAAGCCAATTGTCCGTATCTTCCAGCTGATGTACTAAATGTATAAAAAAGATAAATAATGATAAAGCACCAAAAATACAGGTACCATATTTTAAGGCATATAAGGTGCCCCCCCCTATTTTAGCTGGGGCGATTTAAGAAAAGACTTTTGTGTGTATTTTCCTCCTGTAGCAATAGTTTTTTTTTAATTAATATATTAAAGTACCAGGAAATGTAAGGGATAATTAAAAATATTACCAATAAATAAGTTACAACAAAAAAGACTGTACAGTATAGTCTGGATTTACACAGTCAATTGAACCCGTGGAGGTCTGCGTAAAACGAGAAACACGTAAACGAAATAACAGAACATGTGGGATTAATTGAAATGAGACTGGGCTGACCCACAAACTACACTTTTTCAGACACAATACATATGTTGTAGTAAAAATAACATCTTAATTTTATGATGGTATGCACACACAATTAATATTTAAGAGAAATACAGTCGCCGGTTAATGTCCATTCAAATAATGAACTCGACTCCCCCCTTCCCACGCTCGCTGGCTCCTCCCTCTCTGAGAAATGTTTGGGGAAAAACAGTATCCTTACATTTTTAGTAATAAATAATACCTCAGACTAAACTTAGGTTAATATAATTGACATTGCTGGATTCCTTGCAAGACATGGAATATTTTGAATATAAACGTCATATATTTTGCACAAAATATAAAATTTTTGCTCTTTCAAATACAATTCTTATATTAGATCTAAAATTTGTATGTCTCATGCAAATTTTATTATGTTTATATTTAAAATAATCACAATCTTATAAGAATTCCAGTAATGTAAATTATATTCTGGCTGGGTAATTTGTATGAATTTTTTGAGCTAAAACAAATATCTTCAGTAAATAAACAAATTATACTTCACCCGCGTAAATGATGAAATTTACAGCGTAATTAAAACATTTCATTCTGGCAAGGTGCCGCGTAAATGACCAAACGCGTAAACAAAAACCGCGTAAATCCAGACTATACTGTATTGTATTGCCAAATCGGTAAATAAAAGCCAAATGAAAGTTTAACACAGTCACCATTTCCATACACTCCCTGCTTCACCATAGTAACGAAGACCAGCTGGGACATAGATTCCCCAGCAACGCTTCCCCTCCCGCCCTCACTGAGCCAGCTAACTCGTGTGCAAAGAAATGTATATTCATTTTTCGTGTTTGCCTTAGGACAATTATTATTTTTTTTTTTTTCACAATATGTATGTAGGATGGTGTGCATATAACTGAGTAAAAATAAGTGAAGAAAGTTACATATATCTACCCAAAAATAAGTTGAAAAACAACCATAATACCTCACAGCTTGGCCCAGTAGTCTGCTAGTTACAGTGATGAATCTAACCTGGCTGCAATGCCATGATTAATCACTATTAAGCATTATTATATTAGTATACGCTAATAATAACAGTAAATCCAATGAAATATGGCAGGGAGTGTGGAGAGTTACAAGAGCAGACGATGCTCTAACTAACGGTCACTCACTCGCTCCTGTTGCCAGGCGTATGATCGAAATACGTATGGGAGAAATACATATCTTTTAGTCTAATTTGAAAACGGTGACAGGCACAGTGATAGAAAAATTATATAAACCATACGTTTACCTTCGCTAACATAATAAGAAACACAATACATATCATTACTATAGTAAATGAAATAATATTCCCACAAATAACAATTGACAAATCTGTTTGTTTCCCGCCTTATGCACCTGTGTCCTGCACGCTGACATCTTAATTACACGGGCCTAAGATGATCTTTGCTCTTTTATGGGAATGCTTCAGAGGGAGCTTGGCTTCTTAGCCCCGGGAACCCCCAAATTTTGTCCGAATCTTCCGGAATCCGAATTTACCCAGTCCGGGTCTTCGAGGGTTCACTGTACTGTACAGTTATTTCCCTTCATGACTGGAAGTAACCAGTTATAACACTTATGACATTATTGTAAGCTCTTTGAAGACAATGTTATTCTGATTTCTTTGTTGTTGGTCCTTTTCCTCCTCTTTCTTTCTACATATGATTAACATTTGTTGTTCCTTTTGCATATCTGAATAAATTTATTAATTAGAAGCTTTTCAGTCTTGTACCTTTATCCAGTTTACCCAAAGTCCTTTTTATTTCATAGATATAATTATATTTTTCATTTAGACTTGACGGTATAAGCAGTTTATGGGGTCAAAGGTCAAACACATTGGACTGAAGAAGGGTAACTTGTTGTATTTTTCGAGGAATGTTTGTTTGTTTAATATTATTACAGTTTTCAAGAAGAGAAGTACGTCATATCTGTCCCACAAGAATAATCACAATAAGAGAGGGCATTTTTAATAAATTAAAACATATTTTTCTTGTGGAGTCTTCTAGTTAGGAGGAAGAAAGAACATTAACATTTCCTATAAATATTAATTTGCTTTGAAGTCTTCATCTTGTTGTGTATTCTAAGATTTCTGCATCCAACCTCTGCTCTAATTATACATTTTTAATGTCTGTGTCCTTCATTTTTGGAGTTTTCAAAATTTGTTGGTATAGTATATGTTGTCAGTTACTTAATATTGAGAGTACTGTATTCTCAACAACATCTTATGTAGGCGTTGACCAATTATCTAGTATATTTACAATATGATTACTGTCCTTGTCACACTATTGTAAACAGTATTCTTTTAACTCATACATTATACATAATATACTGTAGTATTACATCAAGGAACCTGCATGATCCCTGAAGTCTTACAGTTAGTGGGTAGTGTTGCATGCCCTCATGTTGGGTCATGACATTATTAACAACATCTACTCTAGGAATCATGGCAACATTTTGTGTAATGGTTATCAAAGAATATTAATGTGGAGATTCGTGTCATGATGAATTTGCATCGTGCATTTTGAAGTTTTTGCTTTAATTCATTAACTTTTGGTTCTGACCATCTGAGTGTGATTTTATTATTGCATTTTCATGAAAAATTACAATTAATTTTTGAATCAGTAGTCTTAAAAGTAGTTTTTGTATTACAATCTTGTTTACTTTTTCTTGAGAGGATTTATAACATTTAAATGACTTTAACATTGCATAAAATTTGTTTAATGCAGGACAGTACTAGAACTGTCAATAGTAATGAAAACTACTAGCTTTTCAGTAGATTTTCAATTTTGTTTGAAAGCATTCATAAGATACTGATCATCTACACCCTGCTGGGTGAAGGAAAACTTACTGTCTTAACTTTGTATTTCCTTTCCTCTGACGCAGATGGAACCAACTTGATGTTTTCATCGTCATCTTATCTGTGGTTGGGATTGTGTTGGAAGAAATGAAAAGTGACTTTATCCCCATCAACCCGACCATCATTAGAGTCATGCGTGTACTCAGGATTGCCCGAGGTAATAGTTGCATCTAATCACTTTTCTTTTTTATTCATATTATTGGTACTACCAAGAATTTAGCAGCTCAGTAGCTATTACTGAATTTATTTTACAAAACTGGTTTCTGAAGATTATATTAAAAAGGTTTATAGTTAAGGAATACAGATATTAGTGTGATAGAACATTATGAATAGCTACAGATAGGTAAATAAAATCAAGGGTAAAACACACTTAAACAACATTAAAACAAAAAACATTCCTAATAGTTTTCCACAAATAATTAATTAATTAATGCAAGTGTTTATGTGGATGGTTTTCATTCTTCAACTACTTCATTAGTACATGATGAACAGTTCAGTGAATTTCCTCAAAATAAATTTTCATTCAGAACACAATTAAAATTTGAACTGTTTAAATATTACAGTTGTCAAAATTGGTTATAAGTACAATACAGTACATGTATCCTTGATAATGGCTGATCTGGCTCATCACGGCGACCATGTGTACGCTTATCACCGATTGATCTGGCTCATCACGGTATCCTCAAGTGCGACCATGTGTACGCTTATCACCGATTGATCTGGCTCATCACGGTATCCTCAAGTGCGACCATGTGTACGCTTATCACCGATTGATCTGGCTCATCACGGTATCCTCAAGTGCGACCATGTGTACGCTTATCACCGATTGATCTGGGTTATCACGGAATTATCATAGGACAGCAGTGGGTCCGCAAGAGCCAGCGGTAGCAGCGACTGCCTAGAGATGACCGCACGGCTCGTGGTGCCACAACAGCTTTTGTTTCCCTGCGCTGTTTAGGTTGATGTTTGAAGACAGTTTCCTGCTCTGTGCTTGTCTCTGGTGCAATTTTGTAACTTCTACTGAACCTCCATTATGGCACCTGTTAACAAGAAGAGTGTTAAGGTTCCTGATCCAGCCAAGCAACAAAGACGTGTGTATTCTCTGGTTGAATGTTCTGATGTTCCTGACAAGGATAAGTATGCACTTGGCAACACACCTTTCTGCTTTCTTACTCCATAATTTAAAATTTATGTAACGTAATGTAGAAGGAATACAACATTGTTTATTTATACTTACACTCAATTTTGTGGGTAGACATCAGCTGTTCAACTGTGTCTGGCAGTGCTGCAGCCAGTTTTACCAACAAAACTGATTGATGCATCATCTCCTCACCACTTACATCCCTGGCAACAGCTTAGGTCATATGTCATCGAATTAAAATTAAGGCTTAAAAGTCTAAAATAAAATAATGCACGTTAAAAACACAATAAATGACATAGAACTTTCATAAAACCATATAACAGATTAGCCGAGTTTCAAAATCCCGCACTCTCGCCTCAGTCGTGTCGACCTTCAAAACATCACCACGCCAGTATGCCGCCAGCTACTGAAGCGAGAGGAGGTGTGTACCCTGTTTGCGGTAGAGAGTTGCCAATAAGACGATAAAATTGGTGTGACATCCGTGGTACAACACACCAAACAACTACGTATTTTTTATTTCATGGATCACGTCTTGCTTCACCGATGGAGCATCTCCTGTATGGTCATGGGTGTAGCCACGGGTGGTAGACGCAATGTCGTTTATTATGTTAGACATTTTTCCGTTAAATAAAATAATATACATAATTTTTTTCAGGTGTTTGTACCACCGGTGGCACAATATGTGATAATAAGGAGTGCACGTTGTACCAAGGGTGGCGCAAATCATGGTTAACGTGTTAAATGTTAATAAATAAAACTCGAAGCTTGTGTAGAAGGCTTGCTTCCTCCACAAAAGAAAGCACGTCCCCTCCCACGCTACCCACTCCTACCCCCGAGTACCAAAGGGAGACGGTACGGCCCGTCCCCCCTTCCCCCAAGCACCGAGAGAGGTGCTTACAACGAAGATCTCTGAGAAGAGGGCATTTCACCAGGAGGTGTCAAACAGTTAGTGGAACCAGGCAGTCATTAAAAAATCATGAGTCAGCCGCTTGTGGCCATTGCGGAGGCGGGGCCAAGCAGTCTCTCGGCTGCGCGACAGTCCCTGATATCCCCAGGCACCCAGTGCAGGGTGGATGTCGTGGAACTTGTTTGCTCCGACAGCATCCCACCTGCATTTGCAACTCAAGCAGATGGCAGCTCTTATTACTGGTTTCATATCAGAGGTAGGTAGAGGGGGAACAACTTACAATTGGATAAGAAGCAGCTGCTTTCACCACAGCATCAGCTTGCTCATTCCCTTTCTCCCTCACATGGGCCAGAACCCAGCAAAAACTGACTTTCCAGTCCCAACATTAGATGAGAAATAGCCACTGTAAAACATTTATAATTAAGGGATGTAAGCTCCTCTTTGTTGCTGCTCACCAGATCAGCAGGACTGAAGAACCCCCTGCATAAAGGCGGCTCCCACCGATGGAAGGGACGGGGGGGCATTATACCACCACCATCACTACCTCCATTATCACCACCTAAATCATAATTTCAGTGATGCAAAGATGGATTTGCTTTAGCAGAGCAGATCAACACAATATCCACTGCCTCCACCCACTGCATCTCACCAACATTCTGCCTCTATTACTCATTCTACTATATCATTCATGATTCAATATTGTACAGTACAGTACAGTACTGTACATTGTTTATTTCTTATTAATTAATTATTAAAGATATATTACTAGTATTATATCTTTAAGTGTACCTACACATGTTCGGGGGTATATTTTGGTCAGTTATGGGATGCATCTTTGGGGTCATGAGACAGAACTAATTTTTCCCATATGTTATGTGTTTCAATATGTACAGTTTTGCTCATGACAGTAGTTTTCTGTAACCTAACCCCCGTGATTATCGAGGATACATACACTGTACTGTAGTAATAATTACTGTACCTATTTTCCTTGCTAAAAAAATGTCAGTCAAGTCAAATTATCCCAAACAGTGTGTCCCATTGTTCTCCATCCTTTGTATCTGTTTGTGGTACAGAAATTATTGTAATGTACTGCTTTTACATTTAGGTGTAGTGCAAGATAGCATCAAATAAATTATAAATAGCATTGTATAATTTCATGTTCAAAATGTGTTATAGAGGTGGCACACTGAGCACTTTCCTCCAAACAAGTTAGCAAACACGACGGTCCACCCAGCAAAATAAAGAGACGTTTTGCGTCACACTGGGATGTTTTGTAGGCACGTCTGCCCAACGCAATGAAAACGACAACAAAGCATCTAAACGAGGTTTGCCATGGATCCTGTTACTACAGTTGAGGCCTTGCAGGATTGTGCAATAGTTCTTCAATTGCTAAAGCAAGCGAGGTGTCTGCAAAAACTAAAGAAAAGACAAAAGGTGCATTGTGAAGTTTGTTTACAGGTGGCGGCAGTTGGCTGGACAAAGAAGACCCTGAATAATAATTTAATTATACTAAAGAAGTTTTAAAGTGATGAATAAATAGAAACAGGTCACCGTTTTATGTGTTATATATTAAATTATTATTGTTTCATGATTTATTTCAATTTTTACTCAAAATCACATGAAGCTCATTTAAGCAGCACTAATCCGGCCAGCAAAGATTCCCACCAAACTGTTTTCCATTTCTCGCAACAGCACAAATCTTGCTGCTTGCTGGGCCGTCAGGTCAACGGGCAACATGTTTGAAGGAAAGTGCCCAGTGTGCCGCCGCCTTTATACAGTACAATATTGTTTATCATTTTAAGAGTGTGTAATATATACATTTTATTGTCCTTTACTTTCTTTAGTACTGAAACTGCTGAAGATGGCCAAGGGTATCCGTGCCCTGCTGGACACTGTGATGCAGGCGCTGCCTCAAGTGGGAAACCTTGGCCTTCTCTTCTTCCTTCTCTTCTTCATATTTGCAGCTCTTGGTGTGGAACTTTTTGGCAGACTTGGTAAGTAAAAGACAATATTGTACTAAGTAGAGTTAAACATGGATGAATTGACTCGGATGGTACTTCCCCAATACAATATTTATCTGAGAAGGAAAAATTAATAAACCATATTTTAAAAGTTAGTCAGAATGTAATCATCCTTAGTGGTGAAGGTGCAAGGCTAAATAAAAAAATTCACTTTGTTAACAGAAAATACAAAACACTCCAAAAGTGGTGAGGGGCTTTTAATTTTGTGTTCCTGTTGTGTATGTGTGTGTTTATGGTAAATACCCATTTGTTCTGTTTGGCATCATGGGTCAGTATAGAGTGCATATAATTAGGTTTTGTGCATTAACATCAGAGCATCCTTCCGAAATAACCTCCACCAGCAAGGCTTGAACCCAGGTCCTCGGTGTAAGAGACAGGAGTGATAAACCCTAACCATGGGGTCCTTTCAAAGGGACTGGCTTATTCATTAATTTTCAATTGAGTACAAATTTGTCCTACAAGGCATTGTAAGTCTGAGTTATAGTCCTAGTTCCAGTAACCCAGGCAATTTTTCTGAAGCTCCCTGATTAATTTTATATACAGGTACTCCCCGACTTACGACGGGGTTACGGACCGACATCCAGGTCGTAAGTCGGAAATGCTTAAATAACACATAGAAAATCGAAAATGTGGGTCTCTTTTTCTTCTCAGCACCACAAAACTCTCACTTATAAGCTTGCCAACTATTTTAAAGTGAATTACAGATGAAAATTTTGTCTGTGTACTGACTTTAGGACTCAAAAATACATAATTTGACCACATTTTGGTACGACTGAGGCAGGTCGTAAGTGCGGGTGGACGTAAGTCGAGTCGGTCGTAAGTTGGGGACTCTGTATATATATATACAGTATACCTGTATATATATATATATATATATATATATATATATATATATATATATATATATATATATATATATATATATATATATATATATATATATATATATATATATATATATATATATATATATATATATATATATATATATATCTATCTTGATAAAATCACACGGGAAAATGGAAACAACGGAGCACCTTAGCTTTCGTCTTTATTCAAGACATCTTCAGAGGCAACTGGACTACATGGACAGAGAGAGGCTTAAATATACAGGGTGACCTTAAAAACATGAGGTCAGGTCATAATGATGTCATACACTAATCCCCACACCAACACACACGTAGAGGAGCTTAAGAGAAAGGGGGTGACGTGACTAATTATGTAGGACAAACAGGAAAAACACTGCAGCTCAGAATCAAACAACATAAGTATAATATCAGAACAGCATCTGAAAGCAGTGCCTTGTTCGTTCATGTTAGGAATAATAATCACCCCATTGCTTGGGAAAAAAGCTTAGAAGTATTTAAATCATCTTGTGTCACAGAAAGACTTCTGGTTGAAGCTAGTTTGATTAAGGAATTTAAATCAATAAACCTTAGTGATGGTCAGTTCAAAGCTGATAATATGTTACATAAATTTATTTGTCAGTGGCCCAAGATTAAAAATGCTTTGAAAACCTTTAATCTAGATGTATGATAGTTATTTTGTGGGTCCCTTATTTTTGACCTGACCCAGGTTGCTGATCTGACTTTCTGCCTCATTTACACACAATTGAAGGGTCTTAATTGTTTCTCTTACTTTGACAACACAACATATTGTACATATATCATTTCTCAATCTTATTTATTTTTCATATTTATGGCTTTTTATTATTATTACATTTTATTTTTATTTTTTAATTATTACTGTATTTTTATTATTATTATTATTATTGTTATTATTATTATTATTATTATTATTATTATTATTATTATTATTATTATTATTATTATTATAATAATTATAATAACAGCCCCCCTCCCCCGTCCCCTATGTGGGTCAGTGACACATTGCCCATTGGGCTAATCTCAATAAAAAATATAAATATTGGTCAAGCATGATAAAAGTTGATCACAACATTGTAACTTCCTCCCCTCACTTTCAAATGGAGAGGAGTGTACATTATTTTAATGATTTAAAGTGTAGGTTAAGAAAGGTTTTAAATGTAGCTTTTATTTTCAGAATGTGATGATGAACATCTTTGTCAGGGACTTGGTGAACATGCTCACTTCAAAAACTTTGGCATGGCCTTTCTCACACTGTTTCGGGTAGCAACTGGTGATAATTGGAATGGCATCATGAAGGTGAGGACTCACACATTATTTTACCGGTGTTGCATGAGGTTCATAATAGATATGAATAACTCTCTGAAAACTGACAAGTACAGTAATAATGTTTTGAATTATGTCATGGGAATGCTGTATCTTGAATTTTCTTTGTGTATCTTAAGTACATAATGTAGAAGTGTGTCATCTGAGTGTTTACAACTTCCCCAGTCCACCCTGCTGTGAATGGAAAGGGCAGTGGACATTATATGATGTTTTGGTATTTTGCGCCATTGTTTGGGTACGCTTATGGCTGTGGTGTTAGCTGGTTACTATGATGACAATGGCAGTTTGCTCCAGAACCAGAAAAACATATATGCTCCAGTATATCTCGTGATTTCTCCGAGAAATTATTATTTCTTGTATTTATTGGCTAAATATTTATTTATACCAAAAAGGTTCAGCATTCTAATAGTGCAACAACATTATCTTGCACGATTTGCTTCATTTTCTACGTAGCAAAATATACCCCATCCTGGGTGGACAGCACACATAAATATACCCACCCTTTAAGGGTTCATGGTTAAGGAAGTGAAGGTACAGTAGTTGGTGCAGTGCTGGCCACACTACTTCCTCTTGTAGTGAAGTCTTAGTATTCATTATGCTATATCCACACTGCCCATAATGGGCCAAGAGAATTATAGGACCCACTAAAAATGCTACCAATAGCATAAATAATGAACCACATCATGATAAAAGTAAATGATTACAGCAGCCTCGGGGTATTTTGTGAGTTACGGACTGAGAACATTCTGTTAGTAAAAATCACTATACAGTACTGTATAGTACACAGGCAATCCCCCACTTTCGAACAAGTAACATTCCTGAACCCTGTTTTTAGGTCGATATGTTCACACATCAAATTTTACCGTTGTTAACCTTTCCTGGGCATTATTGCTCAGAGAAAGCCTGATTTCTGTCAGTCTTTCACCTCTTTCTGCACACTTTATGATATTTAATATAACCTCTAGCCTCAGTGTGCTCCTTTTCTTACCTGCAGCATCACTAAATAGCTGCTCAGTCTTTATTAGGAGTCAAAAATATTTGAAAAAGTGCATTGAAGTATGGTGAGGCATGCATTACAGTCACAGTACTTCGCTACTATAGTCCTGGAGCACTTTTCAAAATTTTGACTGAATGTTCTGTCAGAATTTTTTATTTGTATTGATGGGATATTGTTCATAGGTAGAGAACTGCTGTACAGTACTGTATAAAATGCATATACAATAGCTCTCCTAATATTACTTATTAAGTAATTATTCGATGTTTTAATTGCCTGTATGTTGGCCTGGCGAATTGGATAGGAATTAACATACCTAGGTAACATATGCTGACGTCACATTCCGAGCTATATCACAAAAACTGGTTTTTAGAAAAAAACGTATATACTTTATATATATATATATATATGTATATATATATATATATATATATATATGCATATATATATATATATATATATATATATATATATATATATATATATATATATATATATATATATATATATATATATATATATATATATATATATATATATATATATATATATATATATATATATATATATATATATATATATATATATATATATATATATATATATATATGACTTTCACCAGCAGGACCGAGCCTGGACCTAAAGCATGTGGGACCAGGGGTCTGCGACCATACCACAAGAGCACTAAAAGCAGTTCTAAGTATGTGATATTTCACACAAAGGCTGTTCTTCGAGCTGATGGCACGTGAACCTCTTATTGGGAACTGCCTGGTCCCTGCTTTAGTCAGGGTTGGTCCTGGCTGGTGGGGTCGTTGATTTATAAGTTCAACAAAAATGGTAGAAAAAAGTTCACTTACTTTGAGGAATTATTATTATGTAGAGGCTCTGGATGATGATGATGATGATGATGATGGGATTTAGAATGGGGGTGGAGGAGAAGGAAGAAGGCATTGGGGTGGAAGAAAGTCACCCCATGATGCCATTTCTTATAAAAATTTTAGCTCTCTTGGTGTAATTGAATTATTTTCTTTAAATCAACACTGCACTGCATTATATTTGTAATGTTTAAAAATATATTTATTGCGTGTTTGCTTGGCACAGAAAAAAAAAGCGTTTGTTTGAAGAGTCTCCAAGCAAGATGTTACCTCCAGTGAAAACAGAGACTACTCCTGTTTGCTGTGTTAGAGAGCTGGATGCCGGCGTTTAGTCACTTTACCTTCAATTATGTTCAGTAATTGTTAAAATGACTAAAATTGAATATTAAACTTTTTAAATTATTAGATAATATAAGCTATTGATATTTACTAAATAGTAATGAGAATTTAAGGCCTAGAACCGATTAATGTATTGGCGGACTGATACTAAAGCTGGTTGCGGTCGGTGGCGAAAACATGTTGAATTGGTTAGTAAGAACCGTTAACGAATTTTTTAGTTAACGGATTGAAGATCATATGGAAGGCAGTTCGTTAATCGAAATTACGTTAGCAGTGTTAGTTGGCGAGTCACTGTATATATATATATATATATATATATATATATATATATATATATATATATATATATATATATATATATATATATATATATATATATATACAATAGTACCTAATTCTGGCGGTCAGTGGACCCACAGGGTACGGAAGTGAAAACCGCTTAAAATGAACAACAGAACATATGGGGTTAATTCAATGGTGTGGCACTGACCCGAAACTCTACTTTTCGACACAATACCTATGTTGTAGTAAAATAGCGTCTAAATTTTATGATGGTATGCTCTAATTAATATTTAAGAGAAATACAGTCATGGTTAATGTCCATTCAAATAATGGACTCGTCCCCCTCTTCACAGTTCACTGGCTCCTGCCTCTCTGAAATGTTTTGGGGTTAAACCACTAGATTTTAACGTTTATTAATAATAATACCTCAGATTAAAGTTAGGATAATATAATTGACATTTCTGGATTCCTTGCAGATTAGAATATTTTGAATGTAAGCTTCATATATTTTTTAAAAGATAAAATATTTGCTTTGTGTAAGCAAATTATTCTTTAGATCTAAAATTTGTAGTGTAATGCAAAATCCATGATGTTTTATATTCAAAATGATCATCATGTGAATTCCAGCAATGTAATTATATTCTGTGAGGTAGTTGTGTATGGATTTTATGGGCTAAATAAAAAAAAAAAAAATTATACTTCGTGTATGAGTAGATGCACATGAAAGTGAAAGATCGGTTCTGTAAGGTACTTATAAATAAATGAAAAATCGTGGTAGGGTAAGAAACCGTGTAAAGCGGAGTAATACTGTGTGTGTGTGTGTGTGTGTGTATATATATATATATATATATATATATATATATATATATATATATATATATATATATATATATATATATATATATATATATATATATATATATATATATATATATATATATATATATATATATATATATATATATATATATATATATATATATATATATATATATATATATATATATATATATATATATATATATATATATATATATATATATATATATATATATATATATATATATATATATATATATATATATATATATATATATATATATATATATATATATATATCTCATCAATAATTTCTGGCTGCAAATTCTCCCAGCACGTAAACATTTGTGAAAATACGGCTGTTTGTCTCTATTATGGTGGGCAGAATAATGAATATATGAGCACACATTAGTAGGTTTTTAATACGAACTTAAGGTGTTTTAGTCTTGGATCAGACAGTCTGGGAAGGATTTACAGTCATGCTCTAATTCACAGTGAATTTGATCGAGGGGGCTAAGTTATTAAGTTGTGGCAGGAAAATTTTTAGGTCCTCATTACTTGGCCAAAGACATAATACATCATCTACATATCTAAACCAGACTGCTGAAACATACTTACTTTTATCCCTCTTAACCACTGATCAGCTCATTAGCCGCGGACGATCGGTCCGTCTCTGTGTTGCACACTGTTGGCAAGTACTGGGCATGCACCGTCTCCTGAATGTACCTGAACCTGCTCCAGTGTTGGTCAAGTCTGGTCTTGAAAGAGCTCACCGGTGCCACCCTAACACTTTCTGGTAGAGTGTTCCAGAGTTCAAACTCTCACTCCAAGTTGCCCTCACAGTTTTCTGGATTTGCGGCTTCTTCAATCTTGAGCCGTGACCCATTGAGGCGAGCGTCCATCCTGCTCCAAGTAAGGACACTCGACTGAGTAGTGCCCCTTGAGATGCTTATACACCAATTAGGTCCCCCCTTGCCCGTCTGTAGTATAAGCTAGGCAAGTTCAGGCGCTCAATGTCTCAGGGTAGCTGAGGTGCAGTGCAGGCACCAGTCTGGTGGCCCTCCTTTGAACATTTTCAATCATCTGACAGTCCCTAGCATATCTCGAGGACCAGGCGGGGTGACAGTACTCCAGATGGGGAAGCACTTCACTCTTGAAGATCGTTGAGGACTGACCGTCTAGATATCTGAACGACCTTCTTATAAGACCCAATAATTTATTTGCCTGATTTACCTTCTTCGCAATGGCCGAGAACTTCAGCTCATGTCAACATACACACGAGGTCTTTCTCACATTCAGTCTAAAATACAGCTACTCTCGACTTACGACCTACGACATATGACTACCCGGACATACGACCAAACAATACGTAACTTC